TTTTTCATATATATATATATATAACTAGTATACAATATGTAATTACAAAATTACCCTGCACAGTACCACAGGGGCGTTGCCCCCGCACCCCCAATCTACTTAACGAAACCCCCCTTAATTGGACAAATGCTTCCACTCCGCTCCAGAATCTATCACTTATCTGGTATATGAGTCATACCTAACACTAATCAAACTTTTTTTTTTAAAATATGTTTCTTCTATACAAAAAACCAAAATAGTCCTAAGTTGAATTGTAACATGACAAGTGCTCAAATTTTGGAAAGAAAAGGGGGGCATTGTACCTCTAAGAAACGTTTCCTGGCCTCATCCACTCCGTAAATTTGTGCTTCACAAAGAAAGCACCAAATGGACTCCTCGGTATCATTAGGATTCTCGGCCACATCCAACCTGAACTGATCTGCTCCTTCTTCAAATCTTCAGGTAAAAAAACTACAACAAGATCACAATCCCAACCTTCTTTCACCAGACCAAAATCAAATCTTCAATAAGGGGATGCATTGGAATACCTATTCAAATAGTATAGAGAAAGCCCTCTCTGCCAAAGATCTATGATTAGATGCTAGATTTTTAGTAGTTTACCATCCAATACGAATCGAATTAAGACTGGTCAGAAATATAAGATACGAAGCTGAATTTCGAAGAGAAATTGACTTACAGCCCTTTCGACGAGGGTCTAGTGCTATCGCACGATCAAACTCGGCCAATGACCCGTCTACATTTCCCTACAAATCAGGTTTCTCACAAATTTAGTAATGGGTTTAGGGTTTAAAGTGAAGAGAGGAGGAAAGTGGCGATGCGTCCTTCACCTGACGAAAAAGAAGCATCCCACGGCGAACGGCAGTTGAGGCAGCGCGAGCACGGCCTCCGGCGTCCCCGGTGAGTGCATCCCAGATTGCGTAAACCGAGGAGAAGAAGAGGGGACGAGGTACCGTTGAGGCCATCAGTGACCGGCGCGCCCATGAGTGCAATGGTCTAAACGGCAGGAGGCTTGATGGCAGAAGCTTGGAGATAGCCGTCGAGGAGCTCAGTGGAGTAGACGAGGGAAGAAGTTGGGAGTGAGGCATTGAAAGAAGATGGAGAGAAGATAACGTAATTTTCTCCTTTTTTTTTTTTTAATTTAACTTTGTTTTAAATAAAAAAAAACCAAAAAAATAATAGCTTATACTTAAATTTTGGGTATTTACAAGCATATTATCCAATTCATATGCATTAATATATCAACCATCTATACTTTAATTTTTATTTACAAATCACTCAATCTATGTTGAAAACGTAGATATAAAAATTAAAGTGTAGGTGATAGATATATTAATTATGGATTAGAAAATCAGACGGAACCGACTGGTTCAACCGTGAATCATCGGTACTTCGGTTCGGACTGACTTAATAAACGCCCTTGCATCGAACCAGGTTGAAATGGATTAAACTGGCGAAAATTGGTTGGTTTGATCGAAAATTGTATTTTTTAATACTTAAGTGGCGTTGGAAACAAAATGTGGCCTCTGCATGGGGAGTTTCCAATGGAGAAGAAAAATATTAAAAAGTGCAAACCAGTAGCTGATAAATGGAGTTTGGTGGAAGAAATGAGTACAACTCTTCAGTGTCATGTGGCAGATTAGGAATGGGAGTAAGAGAAGCCAACATATCTTTGAAAAATTTTACCCCTGGATTTTGATAATATTTAATTTTATTTATTATATATATTTATTTTTTAAATTATCATAATGCAATTTTTCTATTTCATCCTTAATTTTAAAAAAAATAATAACTATAATTTAAAATAATTCCTAAAATTATTTTGATGTTTATTATTTAAATATTGATCTATTTATTTTATATATTAATAAGTTTTTTTTAATATTTATATCATTTATGTCATATTTAAATAAATTTATAATTTATTTCATCATCGGTTTAACCTCCAGTTCAACCCAGGTAAAACTAGTGAACCTTGAACATTTCCTTCTTTTAGTTTGATGTTTGGTCTTGTTTTCTCAACCTTGATATTAATACATGGGAATTGGGTGGTAAAAATTTAAATGCTTCTATTTTTTTTAAAATGAGTGATGATCATTCCTATCATAAAATTTTTGGAGCATTTACATACATATCATCCAATTCCTATGTATTTATATATCTAACATCAAAACTTTACTTTTTTATCATTATGCTCCCAAATCTTCTACATCACATCTAAAATGTCATTATTCAACTACTAAAAAAATGAAATATACATTTTTCATAAATAGATAACATAATATATATATAGAAATTGAAGAGTATTTGTTTTATATGTAAATACTTAACAATTGAGGGGTATGTATGTGTTGAATCATGATTTGTATGTGAATCACACCTCAATGAATATAGCATAAAAAGGAAAGCAGGTGGGCGGGGATTGGGAGGGTGAGGGAGAGAGAGAAAGAGAGACATATAAAGAATGAATAACAATCATGTAATCATATTGACCTTTCCATCCTATTTGGCTACTCTGGTAACATATAAAAGAATGAACAGTAATCATGTAACATTTTTGTCTCTGCTTTAATGGGATTTATACAAAGTATTCTTGGTGTTCTGCAAGTATGGGCCTATAACAGTTGTTATATGGCTCAGTTGGTTGAACTTGGTTGGCTACAGGTTGGCATGGCCTGTTTAATTTTTCAGCTGAGTTTGATTAGCTTTGGGTCGGCAAAACTAGCTCGGTCGGTTGAGTCAGTATGGTTGTTGACCCTTAATAATAGATGAGGGAAATTTTTTATATCTCTAATATGATTGAAGATGCTAAGTGGTTAGGTCTTCCCTAAAGTTAACTTCTTCATGCCAGTTAATTTAGAGGTATGAAGATGCTAAGTGGTTAGGTCTTCCCTAAAGTTATTCATGCCAGTTAATTTAGAGGTCTCTTTATCTCTTATTTCACATAACGACTCAAATTTAGATCATTTGGTCATTTTTTGTGACTTGGTCGGCTTTGAACTTACTGGCTTTAGCGTGGTAGTGCTGGTTCAACCAGCTAGGCATAATCAGTCTTGTCGGTCGGCTGAGCTTGATTGACTTCGGGTTGGTAGGACTTGTTCGATCGGTTGAGTTAATATGGTTTTCGGCTCTTAATAATAAAAGGAGGAGCTTCTGGAAATCCGTGCTATGATTGGAGATGCCGAGGGACAGGTTCTTACCTCAAGTCGATTTCTTCATATCGGTTGGTTTGGATGTCTCTTTATCTTATTTCTAAACAAACAACTCGAATTTGGATTATTTGGTGTCATTCATGACTTGGTCAGCTCTGGCCTTGCTGGCTTTAGCTCTGATGACTACACTCGGTTGGATAAGTGGGTCGCATGGCCTTTATCAGTGGGCATTCCTTTATTGTACTCTTCTCATCTGGACCGTCAGATCTCCTCAAAATCAACACTGACACTTTCTTATGTACATTTTTTAGTTCCCCGATTCTCAAAATTCTTGAAAGTGATGTTGCGATAAGAATAAAAGAATTTATTGCAGAAGATATATTTCAACTTTTTCTTAATCAGTGATTCTCTAATTGAACTCTCTTGTTTTTGTGCCTTTGGTCCTTATAAATTAAGCGTGATGAGACTCATTGCTTTTCATATTTAATTTGCATCCCTTATTGTCAAAATCGATTAGCATCCAAGCAATGTCAGGGAGAATGTGTCAAATCCTTTTATCGGTTTGATAATTTATCGTCCAACTTAAGCCTTACATTTCTCATATTTCATTCTCTAGGTCAAGACGTCATCTTAGAAGAACTACACCTTACACTAGGCATATTAAACAGAGCTTGCCATAGTTTTTGTGGGGTAACTTTCGAGACTTGCAGCTGGGGTGATTCATACGCTACCCATCGCGGATCTTGTAGCTAATAGGCAGAGAATCACCACCTAAGTTTGACTCGCTTTGGGCTATGAGACATGATTTTTTTTAATGCATGAGTGTTGTGGGTCTGATCTTGTGCGATTTACTGGCCAAACATTTATTAGTAATTATCAGTTATTGGAAAATTTTATCGATCAGACGTTACTCATCGCTGTTAGTTTTCGAAAAAAAAACCAATCTGGTGTTTATTCATTGTTGTTAGTTTTTTTCGCTTTGTGGAATCATAGTTGGTAGGTGTTTTTGAGTTCCCTAAGCATCGGTCAAATTTTGTCGATCATTTGCATGAACTTCCCAAGTTTCTCGGGTGTAAGCTGGACCTAGTATGCATAATTATAAAAATTTTACTTAACCGTTTTTATAAACTTGACAATAAGATATAAGGGTTGGAACGATGACACATTCTAGCTTTTGAGCCGCACGGTGTTTAAGATATTAAACCTCTCTCCCTTGGTTATATGTTTTTTGGTCGCCCTATGGTCCTAGGGTGATCGAGTGTCTTTGCAATAAAGATGATTAGAAGGACATGGATCATCCCTCAGTCTTCACCAGTCGCCTTAAGGTGCCCTCTTCTGTGAGCGATAGGTGGAGGATTCCGCTCAATAGAAAATGGGAACGAGGTTATGCTACTTGGTCGATATGTGGTTGTTGGCCAGCTCCAACAACTCCGACAAACCTTCGGTCCCTACAAGCCCAACGCATACTAGAAGGGTCCTTCCTTTAGCCCTGGGCTAAGGCGACATAAGTTAAAGCGAGCTCCCGGTCCCACTTCCAACATCTCAATTTGAAAAGCATGTGATGAATGAGCGAAGACTCTCATTTTGTTTATGTCGAATCTGTAGAAGAGCCTACAAATTTTTATGGAGCATTTGGATGCTAGCAAACTGAACCACAAACATTTATTTGAAATTAATGAATGATGTGAACACTCATGTTGATAAATGGTAATGCATTGAACCACTTAAAGGTCAATTCCCTCAGTGTGGTAAAGAAGCGATGACATGTTAGCGCATCTTTGATACTCAACAACACATGATTGAGTCAAATGAGGCTATGTGATTGGTGTGATCGGTCTTGGTCTTGCAAGAAGCTACTGTCAGGAGTTTGAACCTTTTTCAGGCTGCCTCAGTATGTCAAAACCGATGTCGTTTGCCTGGTGTTGACTCAACATTATTAAAGTACTGGGATTCACCTTCTCTTTTCAGAGCCTAGGGGACTTTTCAATCATTGGGCGTCGACCCTTCCTCTTAGGGATACTTCTGTCTTCCCTTAACTAGTGTCTCATATGACATCCAACATTTGATCGTTTAATTCCAAGATTTGTTGGTTTACAAACTCTTCGGTGCATGTCATATTGATTTATATATTTTGTCTTTCTTCACCGTGCGATGCTCGTCTTCTTTTCTATGGCATAATCCACGCTTATCGCACTTTTTGGGATGTTAAATTTTGATTTGTCCATGAATCACGCCTCAAGGAATAGAGTGTAGAGAGAGTGTGTATGTGTGAGAGAGAGAGAGTGAGAGTGAGTGAGAGAATGAACATTAATGAATAGTAATCGTGTCCGTCATGTTGCCCTTTCCCTTATTTTATAGCTAATTTGGCTCTCCCTGTTCAAAAAAATGATCTTCATATTTATAGGGGAGAGAGTATAATATGATGATGTTGTATTTCTGTCCTTGCATTAATGGGGTTGTACATAATATTCTTAGCATTTTACGGGCATAAACATATTGTTAAGTTGCTCTCTGGCTTGGTCGACTAAACTTATTTGGCTTTTACTTGGCAGAATCGGTTCAATCAGTTAACTTAGCACAGTTGTTGACATTGATCCTATATAAGATAGATTTTGAACATCCCCGATGTAATTAAAGTTATCGAGGGACTAGATATTATCTCGAGTCGACTTCTTCATGCAAGTTGACTTTAATGTATCTTTTTATCGTCTCAGATCGAACGACTCAAATTCAGATCATTTGGTTATCTTTCCCGACTCAATCAACTTCGACCTTCTGGCTTCAGTTTGTATGACTGCACTCGGTCAGATAAGTGAGCCTCATGATCTTATATCAGCGGGCCCTTCTTGGCCGCACTCTTCTCTTATTGACTATTCGATCTCCTCGGGATGACCATTGCCAAATTTTCAATGTATAATATTAAATCTTCCTAAAATTTTCTATATTTACATAGCTAATA